TTCCTATATTAGTAACTAAATAACACCTCTCTAGAGCAAAGTGCTGTGTGCGCTAATTATACAGTCCCTAATCTATTACTTTATATTAGCTAAAACTAGGAAAGACCTAGCGCCTTTCTAAACTGCATTAAGACGTACTTAGTATATCTTATCTTCTAGTACTACTTTGTCCTATAGTGTCTATATATACAGGTTAGCAAAGAGGCTAGCGCCCTTTAGTAACTTAGACGCCTCCTCTACTTCTAACACTGCGACCTAAATTAATTTAGGGCGCATTACTAACTATAGTGTTACTTTAGAGGAGTTTAAATCTTATAGTTATCTACTTAAGGTATTAGGTTATCCTGCAAGATAGCTAGGCCTATACTATAGGATATACTAATATTTTAAAAGTTCCTCTACCTAGCAGCACTATTACTTGCTTAAGCTTTAAAGGCTAGTAAAGTACTCTAAGTTTTTATAGTCTGTGAATATTATAAATAGGTTATAAACACTCTATAACTCTACTAACTAACTTTTAAGACACTTAATAATAGCAAGCAATTTCTTGTTATATATAGTATAGTTTTGTCTCTCTAGTATTAGTACTATAGAGTAGTAAGCAACTAGGCGCTAGACGCCCCTAACTTTTTATAATATATAACCCCTAAGAGCATATCCTAAATAGTCTACTGCTAATAATATTTCTTTAGCTAGGTCCTATTATATTAATACTAGTCCTAATATAAACACCTTTTTTAGCGTATTAAATGCACTTTATTCTTCCTCTCCCTATTAGAATAGGGTGTTCTTCCTAGTTAGTTAGTTTAAAAGTGCTGCTACTTTAGAAAACTTTGCAATAAAATTATAGTAGAAGTTAGTAAAACCTAGAAAACTCCTTACCTCTCTTATATTCCTAGGGGATTCCTATTCCTGTACTACCCTAAGCTTTTTAGGGTTAGGTCTAATTAATTTGCCTGCCTTAACAATATAGCCTAGGTAGCGTACCTCCTTAATACTAAAAGCACATTTCTCTAAGTCTAGGTGTAGTCCTACTTCTTTTAATAGCATAAGTACACGCTTTACTTTTTCTATATAGTTAAACTAGTCTCCTCCTAAATAAATTAGGATATTGTTAAGGTAGGCTATTATATATAATCTAAGTAACTCTATAAGCGTAGTATTAATATATTATTAGAAAGTAGATAGCGCACTACTAAGACTAAATAGATATACTAACTATTTATATAACCTAAACTAGGTGTAGAAAGCTATTTAGGACTTATAACCTTCTACTATTCTAACTTTATAAAAGGTAGCGTAAATATCTACTTTTATAAACTAACTTACACTAGATAGTATACGCAAAGTTTCCTTAATAAGTAGTAGTAGGTATTAGTCTAATATTATTATGCTATTAAGTATCTAGTAATCTATATAAAGGCGCTAACTACCTAATAGCTTCTTTACTAGTAATACTAGAGCTCTAGCTATAGAAGAGCTTGCTTAGATCTAGCCCTTGTCTATTAATCTAGTAAGTTATATTCTTAGTTCTAGTAATTAGTCACGCAATATAGGGTATAGGGGACCCTATAGGGGGTTAGGCTAGGTTCTATCTAGGAGAGTTATTAACTAAATATAGTAATCTATACTACCTTAATAAGGTAGCAAACTACTTGCTAACTCTTTGTTAAACAGGTCCTTAAACTCTTATAGTTCTAGTAGTAACTTTATCTTTCTAGTTTTATACTTAGGTTTATAGGGAAATATATTACTAGCAATATAAATAGTGTGTATATTATTAGGACCTCCCTTATTAATACTTCCTAGATATTTTATTAGGCGCAAGTTATATATTGCCTATAAAATATCTAGTATATTTATTATAAAAATTTATACCTATATATCTTCCTATTAGGATCCTTAATTTAGCAACCCTGCTATAACTAAACCTAAGATAGTAGAGATATAGGTAGGATATAGGCGTCTCCTGCTCTCTTATACTACTATATTTCCTGCCTTCCTAATTATTAATTTGCCTTATAGAATATCTATAATAACGCCCTCTCTACATAGCTATAGTCTACCTAGTATTAGTTAATAGGAGAGACTAGGTACTATATAAGCTAAAAGCTAAGACTGCTAACTATCTAAATTATAGTCTAATACTACTAACTATGCAATTCTTGTACCCTTAGTAATTCCCTAGGTATATTATAAGGGTTATAGGGGAATATTAATAAAGGTCCTACTAATCTATCTTGCTAACTTTTCCTTAACTGCACTAAAATACTAGCACCCTAAATTAACTATTGCTTACACGTTCTCTACTCTACCTAGGAGGAGGGGAATAAAGAAAGGAGGATTATTTAACCTAGCCTTAATATCTAGGGGACACTTAATAGCCTCTACTATTAATAATTCCTCTATTATAGTATCCTCCTTATACCCCTAACTTAACCTAAAGTTAGGGGCAGCTAGTTTCCTAAATTAGGGCCGCTTGCTAATACTATAACTATCTTAACACCTACTAGTTATAGTAATAGGGTATTAGGGCATGCACGCATAAAATAACTGCCCTATCTACACTAGGTATAGACCTTTGCTAGTTTTCGTGTATTAAAAAGGTCCTATAGGATCTAGTTAGGATATAATATTAGTAGTTTAGTAGGTGCACTTAATAAGGCTACTACTTCTACTATATTTATATCGCTATCCTAATCTAAGTTAGACTTCTACTAGGGTTCCTTAGACTTACTAGCCTAAAAAAAGCCTAGTTCTAGAGAGGCTATTTTAATATCTACTGCAATTATCTTATATTCCTCTATAGCTGCGTTATAGTTTGTCCTAGAGACTCCCCTATTAAGGGAAACTAAGCGTATATAGCTATTAAGTAATTAGTGTAGTTATAAAAGCTTCTATTTATTATCCTATTATAAACCTCCTAACTATATAAGAAGCTATATAAAATTTATAAAGAACTCTATACAATACTAATTTTAGCCCTAATATAGGGGTTCTAATATAACTTAAGCGCGCTCCTGCCTATAATAGTTACTATAATAGAACGCTAAGTAGTTAAGAAATCTACTTATATCCTAACGCTTATATGCACTATCCTTAAAGTACAGTGCTATAGCGCGCTAAACTATAGGTAATAACTAGGACTAAATATATATAAACCTTGCCTCTTTATCCCTAATAAAGGCCTTATCCGCACGTAGTTTAAATTCTATAGTTATTTACTAGGAGGAGAAGTTTACCTTAGTGCTATTATATAGCAAGCTAACTAGGAAGGGTTTGTAATATAATGTAGGAGAGGGTAGAGGTAGCATGTTATTAAACCTAGTGGGCTTAGAGGAGGGTTAGGATAGAATCTAATTGCGTATTTCCTTGTTCTATTAACGTAGTATAGCTATTATAGCAGAGTCTTAAGCCTATTATTCTATTAATCTATAGACCTATTATATTAGCCTTTCTACTATATTAGGTTGCACCTAGTTATTCTAAACATCTAGCGCGTCTATCTCTTATTACTATTATAGTATATTTAGAAGAAGATACTAAAATATTATAGACTAGCCTTAAGGGAGAATATAATAAGTGTTAATAATAGTATTTAGTATCTTAAAGGAGAGGTAAGCCCTCCACGCCTTTTTATAGGTGTCTAGTGTGTTCGCTTAGTAGTAGTGTTAGACTTAGTCCGTCTTGTGTTAGACCTAGGCTTAGGCATAAGCCCAAGCCCTTTACACAATAATAGAGGCTTTATAAACTAATATAGATAATTCTAATTAAGGCTATTAAAGTAATCCTCTAGGTGCTTATCTAGAGCTATATAGGTAGGCTTATTAGTTACTATTATTACCTCCTTACTACCCTTATTAGGTAGGTTAATAGATTCCTCTAGCTATAACTCGCGCAGTCACGCTTTAAAATTTAGTACCTAAGATGCTTTAACTAGGGCTTTATAAGGTAGTAGATAAGGTAATAATAGAGGGCTTTTAATAGGTATAGCCTAGCTATAGGTACTACTAGGCGTAACTTTAGGGCGCTTTATTAAGATATTAATAGTATCTCTAATATATTATTTTAGTAGTATACTAGAAGTAAGGATAGCGTAATAAGAGTAGAAGCTAATATAGAAGGCTAATAGAGGTAAAGAAGTGTGTAAAGCGTAGATTATAAGGCTAAAAAGTTAGTATAGTAGAGGTAAATAGTAATAATATAAGATAGTTACCTAAATATGCTAAAATATATAGATTAGCTCCTAGTATTATAACGTGTAAAAGGAACTATAATAATATAGTTATTTTATAAATTTTATAGTAGTAATAGAGTTAGAGTAGTCTATTTACTCTTTATATAGTACTAGATAATTAAAAATAGTATAATATAGTTATATATTTAAATAGTTAAAATTACATATCTTTAAAGTTATATCCTATATCTACCTTTATTATACCTAAAATTGTAATAATATAATTAACTACTCTATATATATAGTAATATTACCCGTATAATTAACTATACTACGCCTAGCTAGCGTAGTATAGGTATATACTAGGCCCCTAGTAACTTTAACCTTTATAGAGAGAAGCTTGTAAGTATCCTAATAGATAGGTGCTATTAGGATAGTTATAAGCTTCTCTTTATAGAGGTTAACGTTACTAGGTATTTTTTAATAGTATTTAAATTATAGTAGTAGTAGTTTTATTTTAAGCCCTTTATATATATATATATATATAGCGTTATTATAGGTTTTTTTTATATTACCTAACTCTTAACACTAGAAAGGTATTATAGCCTTGCTACTACTATAAACCTAGTAGCCTCACGTTACTAATTAAGCTTATTAAGCTCATTAATTAAGCTAACTTTACGCAGCTTGATTAATTGTTTATTACTAAACCTTAGCTTGGCTTGCTTAAGTATACAGCTTGACAAGCCAGCTTGATTGATATCAAGCTGACTTGATTGTTGACATGTCTGATAAGTCCTAATCAATCTCCAAACATCACTATTCAAAACACCACGATGCAATTCAAACCCGCCTTGCATCCGCCATCCTGGCCCTGACCACTGGCGTCACTGCTGTCCCCAGTTCCTTCCCTCAAATCACCATCCGCATCTACAACGACCAAACCGGCGCCAACGCCGCCGCTACAGTTCCGGCTGACAGTATCCCCCGCAACATTGTCGATCTCTTCCGCGGCAGCGCCATCGACAGCGCAGGAAATATAATTGGTACTTCTGCACAGCTCACGGAGTTTACGGATTCAACAAAATGCAAACTCGTCAATGTTAATGTGCAAGGATGCGTTATTGAGCTTGATGGGCGTGCGAAGAACTTTGTGGACTTAGATGGTGACAATACTAAGGCTAATCCCGTGTGGCTTAGAGGGTTTAGTTTCCAGTGCAGCAAAGCGTAAAAGGCTTCGAGAAGTCAGGGAGATCTTTTGTACATGTTGAGGCATCCTTTTGAATCTCAGTTGGTATCTGGTAGGTTTGGGTAAAATTGAGTGCAAACTTGGTCATACAATCTCTCGGATGCATCAATATAATCTCTAGATTCGGGTCCGGATCTCAAGGGAATCGTGTCTTGTTGCGTTCCTAGTGAGGTAAGCGAGTAACGTACCCACGAAAGCATAGGATGGGTCATGGTGGCCTTTCAGTCTACATCTGCTATCAACAGGCCCAACCTCTTAAGAAGGCAGAAATACATTGGTGAGAAAGCGCCCGCGAATGTTCCCTCGAGGCCAATACTCGCAGGCCATGAACCACCCGTACGCCCTTCCAGGAGCATCAGGCGTGGCACCGCAGTACGTGCGTGAGCAGCCCACAATCTGTGAGGCATTCCATACGAGTTGGGTAAAATGACCAGTTTGTGGACTAAAACTCGTCAGTACTGGACCCAAATCAATCTGCGCTATCACTATACCTGAAGATGCCAGCCTGATAGTCGTACAGTGCTGCTTCATCGGCCCAGTATTGAACTGCCGCCGCCGGGGTTTGTACATTTGTTGCGAGATTCTCACCGTATTGACCGCTTGCAGTTGGATTCTAGGCGTATCAGCGACGCCCTGTGTCACATTTTGGTAGACATACACTATGAGCCCATATGCATTGATTTGTCCAGTTCTGCGCGTAGGTGGCGAGTGTATTGTCCCATGTCAAGTATGGTGTGTTGTGTCGAGCACGGTAGGCATTGGTCCATGTCAGTACTGTTTGGCGAAACTGAGTCTCGTTTGCATATATCGGCCACATGGATTGTGGGACAGGAGTTGACTGGCCAAGGATCGCGGTCATGCTGCAAGCTAGAACGTGAATGGTAGAAAAGATATGCATGATGGGAACCTGGTTAGAGATTGAATTTTACATCAGTAGAGGGTTAATCAAGTAATCATAGCACTTAGAATTGATTTATAGTTCAAGGTCTATACAAATCGTAGTGTCGCACGGCAACGCTTGGAGTATATTGAGGAATGTATACACGCCCGCTAAACTTGTTCTATTGAAACCTTATACCATTGGATGGAAGATGGATTCCGATTTTGCATTGTTTCTGTCCTTCATTCCGCTCTTACATCATCGCTGCCCTAAAACACGTGTACACCATGCTCCCTCGTGCCTTAGGTCATGGGATTACAGGGCATTCTTTGGCAATTCTGTAACAATGCTCCATTATCTTATTTTGATAATTAGTTCCTGCAATGGCTGTTGCCTAATCGACAGAATGCTAATTCCCCTTTTGATCATAATGTGGATATATGCGTCTTCTCATAGGCTCTAAAGTGCATCCTGTGTTTTCTAGTCCTGGTAATATCCGCAATGGTGATCATTTTTCATACCAGTTACGGTAAGCGCTAGGTAGTGCCTGCATGAGTCCAATCTGGCACCCTGATTTGATATCGCGTCTGGCGTGTTCCCGTCCGTGACGGTGGTATACGCGGCCGAGGGCAAACAGATGGCTCAAAGGGATGTTCATAATGTTGCAAATTCCCTATCTCAGAGATTAGATGAAATGCAAATTCAAGTACGAACTATTGTATTCAGCCTGTGAATGATCAGAAGTGAGAAATGCGTGATATCCCGTGAAGATGGGTAACAGGTGATTTTCATTCACAGGACTAGTGCTATGTGTGCTCTGTCGTAAGAGAGTGATAAGACTAGGTTGCTTCTTTGTAAATTCAGATTTCTATTCTTGTCAAATTAAGTTTGTTATGGTTCATCTAGAGACGCGATTCGTGCCTTGAATACCCACAATTCATCTCTTCAGAAAGAGGGAACGAATTCGTACTGGGCAAGCGGCTTTTCGACCTTAGCGTTGGAATCGAAAAGCAGGCTCTGTAGCTTCTGGGCGTCCGCTTTGTTGTTTTTGGGCAGGGCGTAATATTTGTTGCCGATGAATACGGCATCATGCTTTGTCGATGATGTGCAAGCATAGTCGTTCGACCTCTTAGGAATGCCATTACCCTTCTCAACCCAGCTATATCCAGTTGCAGTAACATTCACGCACGTCTTGCGGCGTTTCACTCGCTTGCTAGCAATAAGGGCCCCGCACTGAAGTGGTACGGGATCGGTTTCGATTTTGTGTGGACCCCAAGCGAGAATCTGTTTCGACCCGGTTTCTTGAACCTCCAGCATGAATGATTTCACCGTGGTCAGGCCTTTGTTGATCGCGTCGGTGACGTTGGCAGCTGGTCCAGTGATTGACAGAGCGCACGTTTGGTGGTCGAGATCTTTGAAGATAGCGGCGTTGCCCTGACAATTTGTCTCAAGGAAGGCGTAGCCCATGTCGGCTGTTGCGAAACTGCTGATGGCGCTAAGGGCGAGGACGATGGAGAGATGCATCGTGAATTTGGACAAGAATGTACCGCTGCCAGCTGTGTGTGTAGATTAGCGGCTGTATAGAGGCTTCAAGGTGGACAGCAGACCTGTATTTATATAGTGAAATAAATTGACTACTCTGAACACGAGCCTCTCCAAAGCTTCATCAAATTATACTGGCGTAAGCACCGACATGACGACTATGAATAAAGTACCCTCGTGCGAGGCATAAGACGGGTCAAATGAAGAACCCATGTACCACAGTGATAACTGGCGAACAAGTGCCGTACCGATATAAGGCCGACACCAGGACCGATATACAGCCCGCTTTGCTTATTACTGTTACCGTTTACTGTAACAACCCAGGTAGGTAGGGGCATCTAAAAGATATCCAATACGACTTAAAGGCATATAGGAGTGCGCGTCTGTATAGAAAAGAATATAATTCCTACACCTATAGTTCTTATAAGAAGAACTTATCTATCTATCTATAAGTAGAAGGCTACTTTTATATCTAGAGGTAGATGTAATAGGTTAGGCGCCATGCCCACGTAATAAATACTACGTCATCTCCCTGCCTGTACCAATTGGCTATGGTCCAAAAGGTGCGCACAAGAATACTTAAGCTAAGTAAATCTCGCATAGTATAATATATATATCTCAACAGATAATAGTGCTAGACCCTAGTGCCAACCCATGAACCTTGTTCAAGTCTACCCTAGGCATCTAGTAAGCGCTAGCTATTAGCCTAGCCTTGTTATAGTAGAGGGGGGCAAGTGTTATTCGTCCGGGTCGCAATAAGAAAAGTGTCCTGGTCATAAGCCTTACCTTACCTAAATTAGTTAACATCCTGCAGCTAGTAAATTAGTACTGCAGGGGATGCCGCTAGATGGCCCGCGACCAGTATTAATAGTATTAGTGTATAGTATTAGTGGATATTAGGTTATCTATACCTAGTTACGTGGTGTTGCAGAGTTTTTACCTATAGTAACTAGGTAATAGCTATAACCTAATATCCTGTATTAACAAAAATCTATTAAAACACAACTAATTATTATACTTTTTCTCTTATAGAAATGTTACTTACTTAATTTATATTACTAACTAACTTAGATAACTCTTAGGTATTCTCTAAGGCTTTATATAAGGTTATTATAGAGCCCTATACTAGTGGTATTACACGCGACACTAAAGTTTTTATTAAGTAGAGCTCTAAGTTAGGTAATAACTCTAATATTAATAAGCCTAATTAGGTAGTGTGGAAATTTGGATCACTAAGGTTAGGAATAATTTGGGAGATGGATTATTAGATTATGTCTACTACGATCGGACTCATATAAATAGAGCTTTAGCTACCCTTACTAGAAGGTGTATAATTAGTAAACCTTCCTTACTAGAGCTCCTGTTTCTGTTAGGCACTTGGCAGTAAGCTGGCAGTTGATTAGATAGTGGGTCATACAGGGGTATTGATTAGGGATATTGATCGGGATTAATCGGATCAAGATGCTCCGTGATCTAGTTGTTATCCCTCCTGCAACAGGTAGCTATATAACCCCTAGAGGATAGGGATAAAAATAAGGAGACTAAGTAGGAAGGAATATTAGATTCTAGGTTAGATTCTAAGCTAGTTATTCTATCTAATACTCCTAATATTCTACGTGCGCCTTGTAGCTATTAACGTTATAATTACTACCCTTGCTACTAGGATTATAGGGATATATAGGGTAAGGTTAGTAAAGGAGACTATAATCTTACTAACCTCTAGGACCTAATAAGGATTAAGCGCAACTATCCCCTATTACCTAAGGCTATCTACCTTAGCTTTAATAAAGTAATAGAGGCTATTAATAAGTAGGGTAGGACCTATAGAGTAGCGTATAACTACTTTAAGTAGGAGCAAGGTAGTTAGTATAGGCTTAATATACGCTATAACTATAAAGGCAAGTGTTGTAATAGGAAGAAATAGCGCCTAGAGCACGCCTAGCCTAGGGCAAGCACTAGTAAATATAGCTACCTTGTATAATTTTAGGTTATAGCTAAAGATTACACTAATTTAGGTAGTTAATAAAGGGTAAAATAGGCTTAAAACTACTAGAGTATTACTTATAATTATCCTGCTATAGAGAATTCCTATAGTATAGTAAGGTATTGCTAGGTAACACGCGCCCTAGGTATAAGGGAGCGACTATAGAAGATTTTTAAGATAGCGTGTGGCTTAAAATATGTATTATTAATACTATAAGACGTGTATCTAGATACTATAAATATTAATAAGGTTATTAATAGACTACTAGCTAGTATTAGTAAGCAGAGTTAGGATATTAAGGGTTAATATTAGGTAGGTATAAAACTTTTTAAGTACTTTTATAGTATCGATAAACTATATCCTACTTACCTTAAATAAGGATTTAATATTATCCTTAGTAAATAAGAAGTCCTAGGCTAGCTTAAATAAGGAGTAGAAGTCCTCCTTTTTAAGTAAAAGTAGCCCTTAGGTTATAAGGAGGTAGTTATTAAGCGTGTAGGTATAGGTAGTACTTAGGGGTAAAAAGAGTACTACATTAAGTAGCTATAAAGTATAGGTAAAGTAAGGGGGTAGTGTTAGTAGTAGTATCTACTAGGGTTAGTAATACTCTAAAAACTCTAAACTTAGATAGGATAAATACCTATCTAATATTGATAGGTAAAACCTAAGTCTAGCTTTTACGTAAGTATACTAATTAAATACCTACTTAAGCTATGCTAACTAAATATTAATTGTATTCTATTCTAATAACGTTAAAGTAAACTAAACTAGGTTTTGAAATTAGCTTAATATTATATATCTAGCGCTCTTAAATATTACTAGCACTAGCCTAGTATATAATACTTAGTATTAACGTAGTCCTATTTATATATACTACTACTATTAATAATATCTACTTTCTACTACTATCTTATTACTAACTACTAATTTCCCCCTTACTCCTATAAGTCCTAACTTAATAGCTTAGTTATATTTTACCCCTCTTAAGGTAAAAGCCCTTTATATCAATATTATTGATATCTAATAGTAATATATAATATTTAGAGATTTTTTTATATAAATATTAGAAGTATACCTTATATTTTAGTAGAGATTCTACCCTAACTATATATAATCACTCCTATAGGTATAATAGGTTTTAAGGTTATTATAACAATAGTAAAGAAAGCGAGTTACCTAACTTTCTAAGGTAGTCTTCCTAGCTATTAATAAGTAGAAATTTTATAGTATATATTAAGTAGGTACAGAGGTAACTTTTAAAAGTTCTTGCTAATAGGTGTGTCTATATTACCGCTGTGATACCACTAAAGCTTAGACTACTTAGTCGCGCCGCCCCTCCTTATACTTATTACTACATTTAAGTCTAATAATCTCCTAAATATAATACTATATAGGCACTATCTAAGCCTAGATTTAGTATTAAGGTAGCTTATCCTAAGCCTTTAACTATACTTTTATCCCCTCTACTCTACTCCTAAGAGCGCCCTTCCTAGTAGTTCTCCGCTTAAGCTATAGCTAGGCTACTTTAATAGCGTTAAGGTTAGGTAAATTACTATACTAAAGAAGCTTCTCTACCCCCTCTCTCTTATATACTAGTTAGTAGGTATAGTAGGTATATAAAGGAGCTTTATCCTCTTAAACTATAGTATATAGTCTCTCTTTCTTATACTTTTTAGTAAAGGGGATAAGCTTAGGGATTAGAACTTTACTCTAATAACACTACTAATCTATACCTCCTCTATTATTAGAGAGCTTACTAGTCTTTTTACTCTATTTCTACTATAGAGTATTACCTAGCTAATTCCTTAATCCTATCCTCTTTATACTAGTAATGATCCGTCAGGGAGAGTAACCCACTCAAACGAGGAGAAGTGGGAGGGGCAAGGTTCAATAGTAGTGATCCCATACTAGAGGATAGGAATTCAATGCAGGATCATGAGAGAAAAGTTGATATTGTAGAGTTGAAGTGAAGTCTCTAGGAGTTTTCCTGCTTATCCTCTGATCCTTCATGCCTTTATACCATTCAACCCGCCTAACTTTTTAGGCTAAGCCTTGTTTTTCTCCCATACATCCTGTGCCACGGCACAGTAATAAGCTCCTACTCCTATCTTATAATAGTCTTAAGAGTCTAATTTATCTCTTTAATCTTAAGAGCTACTTCTATCTTCTCTTATATAGTCTTAGGGCGCTAGATATAGTATAGGCCCTTATAATTATAGGAAAAGTGGCCCTAGAATATAAACTTAGAGGAGCCCTTCTACTACTTATAAATAATAGTCTTAGTAAAAGCCTTATTAGGTTTTCTCTAGATATAGTAGCTACTATAGTAGTAGTTAGGTATAATAGAAGTCTTATTAGACTAGATAATATTCTTCTAGTCCTCTAGAGTCTAGCCTTAGTAGGCAAGACACTACTTAAGTCTCTCCTATCATATCTTCTTTATTAATCTAGGCTCCCTTATAGGCTTTATCTTATTATATCTAGCTACTTTTAGGACTCTCTATACTAGGCTAGTAAATCTAGGTTAGTGTACACTAGCTGTGGTACTAGGTTAGGTTTAGGTCGCACAGACCTAGTGCTTAGGTTAGGTTTAGGTCACATAGGCTATAGGCTTAGGTTAGGTTTAGGTTATATACCCTATAGGCTTAGGTTAGGGTTAGGTTATATAGACCTAGTAGTTAGGTTAGGTCTTGTAACAAGGCTAGGCTAAAAATAGCTAGCGCTTACTAGATGCCTAGGCTAGACTTGAACAAGGTTCATGGGTTGGCGCTAGGGTCTAGCACTATTATCTTAGGCTAAGTTTAGCTAAGATATATATATTATACTATGCGAGGATTACTTAGCTTAAGTATTCTCGTGCGTACCTTTTAGACCATGGCCAAGTGGTACAGGTAGGGGAGATGACGTAGTATTTATTTCATAGGTAGGGCGCCTACCTTGTTACATAATACTTAAGCAAACCTAAAGGTCTAGAGTTTAAATCTGCGGATTGTCTCTG